AATATTATCATGTATATTGAAGTTACCAAGAATGATTGAATGAAGGTTTAGTTGATAGACTTGTTAGATTCATAAAATAACTATTTTTTGTATTTTATTATATCAGTGTGTATCAGTAGAAGAGAGATAAACTGCTATAATGCAGAGTTTAATTTCACTTTTAAAGAAAAGGTCTAAAGCTACTGCTTCTTCAAGATGTATTTAATAGTTGTATATGTGTAGTTGAAGGTGATTGCGAATTATAATAGTAGCACCTTCAGCTGAATTTTTAGAATTTGTCCAAAAATATGTAAACTAATTATTGTTACAAAAGTGAAGGTTAGTAGTGTTGGCAATTTTTGTTTTAGTAATATAGGCAATGTCAATATTGTTATAAAGACAGTAATTTTGCCAAGCTTCTTTTTTGGTAATTGTGTTAAATCCTCTAACATTATATATAACAATGTTTAAATAAAGGTTATACAAGTTTTGTATAGATATAGAGATTTGTATTAAAAGTTGTAGCAATGTTGAAGATAATAATACAGAAATAGAAATAGATAAAGGTTGTTGTAGTGGTATTGAAGATGTAGAAAATAGTAAGTTTGATGTAAATATGGATTTGTTATGTTAAAAGAATCATCTTCTGTTATATTTAATTTTAGTAAAATATTTGAATAATGTCAGATAGCTTAAAGTAGTAAAATAAAATGATTAGATAGAGGTTTAGGTTCAGATGAAAGGTAAACATAAGCTTTACTGTAATTATTTTTAATAGAAATAATTAAGGCATAACTGCAAATATTACTTTGTAAGTAATCAAAACTATAAATATGTTATAGAAAGGAGATAATTGTTTATAAATGTAGGAGTAGTGGAAGATGGTTATAGGCCAGGAATTTATTGTAGCATGTATGAAGTTGTATAGAGCTATAGTGTTTATTAGTAATAACAGTCTTATCATAGCCAGATAGAACAGTTTTTACTAGTTGTGAATAAGTGTAATTTAAAGCATTATTTTCAAGAACAGGTTTGGTATATTGTGTGTTATTAAGTATTGGTAAATATTTTAAAGAAATAGATATTGATGAATAGAAACTATAACCAGATCAGTGTGAAATAAAGTGATCAGATAATAGTTCTGGTTTATTTGATAAGTGTATTAAGCACTTATTGTAGTCTAGTTTAATTGATATTGCCAATATAAAGTTGTAAAAATTAAGTGATATATAATTGTAAGAATGTATATGTTCAAGAAAGAAATAAAGAGTTTGTAGATATAGAAGTAAAGGTAGGCCTTGATAGGCTAACCATTTATTATAGAATGAGTCTGGATTGACTAATATATTGTATAATGGGTCTTGTAATGTTTCCTTGAAGTGTAATAATGCAATGAGATTCAAGGAGGTAAAAAGTTTCTCTGTAGATTTAATTACCATATGTTTGACTCTTATAGCTGTGAAGAGTACTATAGCCTGCTCTGTATGTTAAATCTGGCTATCATAAACTTGGTTCTCCATGTAGTTATATCTTTTTGTTATATTTCAAAAAACATAATAAAAATAAAAAAGTAATTGTATTTTTTTATTAACAGAATATTGTTTAAATGCTTTTTTATGCAGTATGTACATATTTATTTTTATTTTTTAATTTTACAATTTAGTATAATTTTTAAATAAGAAAGAAGTTGTACAATATTATTATAAAATTATAGAAAGAGGTAATATTATTTTTTTAAGGTTACAGTTATATTAAAGATTTTTTAATAATAGCAAAAGTATTGCATAAATGTATTATAATTATATATATAACATTATTATTAAGGATCAATCTATATAAAAGTTATGCAAGGTAGTTTATTTGAGTAAAATTATGTTTAAAATTGTTTTTTCTTGTATATAAAAGGTTAAATACAAAAAATTTATATTATTATTAGTATCAAAAAATTTTTGTTTAAATTCTAGACCTTTCAATAATAAATTAAGTTACTCAGTTTGTTATAAAATTCAAAATATTAAGATAATAATGAAAAGCATAATAATTTACTAGAATGTATAAAATATGAATTATTTTATACTAACAAGAAAGATAAATAGTTTAGTAAAATGTTAGTAAAAGTGGATTTTGAGCAATATTTTCTAACTATGTATATTTTTTTATTACAGAATGATTTACTATAAATGCAGCACAGTTTAAAAAACATCTTTTTACATGTTTTTATTTAACACAGTGATTTAATCTTATATAAGCTTGCTTATTTTCAAATATTTAATTATTAAAATTTAATAATATATTTAAAAAAGTTAATTTTTAAGTCTTGCATATAGTAAAAACAAAAGCATTTTGAATTGAATACTATGTATAGCTGCTAATAATCTATTTAGAAAAAAATTAATTATACATTTTGAAAAGAATACATTTATAATAGCACTTTTGACACAAAAGCTAAAATATACTAGTTCTGAAGTTAGGTTGATGTTTGTTATTATTCCTATAGTACAATTTACAATATGATGTATATTTTGAGAGTTATTTATGAACATAACTCTTATACTAGATTGAATCTTAATTACAATAGTTAATTTTGTTTTGTTCTTAAATTGATAATGCCTTAAATGTTATTACAATCTTGGTTATAATAAGCATCAATGCAATTTAAGATTATAAGTTTATTTTCTTGAATTAGAATCATTGAGTATATTAATTCATTAATATTTCTGCAGATTTTTGATATTCTACAATGTAGGTAGTATTTAAGTTGGTGTTTACTTAAGGGGAATCTGAAGTTTTAATTTCATTTTTTGTTAGAGTTTGTTATACATTATTATTAATTTAAACCATTCTACTTTTTTCAAGAAGATTAAAAAGACTTATATTTTAATTTTGTTTTTAAGGCTTATGAAGGAATAGCAGATAAAATATTTTCTATATAGGTGATTTAAATACAGAAGTATCACTAATAGGAGGCAGTTGTGCTAAATTACCAACCAATATAACATTTATATCTCTGAAAAGGTTATTGTTTTTATGAAAAAATTCAAATAGCTTTAAGATATAAGTTAATAATAGATCTGATATAATTGAAATTTCTTTAATAACAAGTATATATATTGACAAAAAAAGTTATTGAACTCAAAGTTATAAAAGGCAAATATATAAAAACCTTGTTTATCTGTTATAATTTTTAATATTAAATGTATGGTTGAACTACTAATATTCTGTATAACAATTCCTATTAAAGCTATTAATAAATAGTTATAATAAGTTTTTTGAAAATATTTTAATAATATATAAATAATAAATAATTTGCCAACTCCAGCTAATCCAGTAATAAAGAAATAAGATAACTTGATTTATTTTAAGAATCTAAATAATTAGTTATTATTTGTACATACTAATTGACTTTGTAATAAGTTAATTAATGCATTTTCAGATACAATTTGAAGTAAGATTTTAATTAAGTTCAGCTATAATTTAATAATATTCAGAATATTTGATGATATAACTGGTTTCAGTAATAGAATTATTGCTTCAATTAAAGAAATGAATTGGGCAGTGACTAGCATAGTTTGATTTAAGATAAATTTATAATTTTTTTCATATATAGATTGGGTTATATTAGAAAATCAAACTAAAAAGTGGTCATAATAAGTTGAATAACAATTATACATCTTAGTTTCAGATTTGCAAAGAAATTTTAATAATAATTGTTGATAATAAAATAATTTGTCATGCTCAATCCATAAGAATTTTATATGTAAAAATATATGACTTTCATGTTCTAAAATAAATTTCTAAGTTGATCATAGTATATCATTTTGCAAGATATATTTGAACCTGTTCTTTTTATTATTTTATATAAATCATAACATGTTTTATAAAACATATTATCAAATATAGTGTTTAAAGAATAAGCAAAATATTTTTTAATTTTGTTATTTCAATATAGATTGTCATCTAGCAGGTCTATTATGTATATTAGAAAAATAGTTTTAGAACATGTATCTGGAGGATTTGTTGTTAAATATTGAACTTGTACAAATAAATTTATTATATATTTATTAAATAATAAGAATATTAGTTTTATAAAACTCATGTAATATGCATGAATATATTCTTGATAACCTAATTGATCATGCATATTAAATAAATAGATTGATTCTAGTTTACTAATATATTTAGTAATGTATTTGGCAAGTCCTTTATTTGTGATATATTGTGCATTTATATGGTCATTTCAAATCAATAGTATAGACATGTGATATAGCACTATTTATTGATCTTTTGAAGTTATATAATGATATATATATCTGTAATTAACAGGATCATAGTATGTGTTTTTAGAAAATATGTATAGAAAAGCTTTTTTATATACAAAGCAGATAAACTTAGGCCATTATATTTTGAGTTGCATATATGTATTTATAAAGCATAGACTTTTTGATATAGTTCAGATTCAATGTTAGGATCTGGAATAATAAATCATATAGTGTTTTTATAGATTATTATTTGTATGTTATCAGTCATTCAATAAACACTATGCACATAAGCAGCTTTACAGTTTTGAAACGCTATTCTATCAAAAAAGTGAGCATAAGTACTCTATTTACTAACTTTCAAATCTTTTTATACAAATTTTTTGAGATTTTGTAATCTATGAATAAAATATAAAGTTGTATTTAAAGGTCAATTAGTAGGTAATATATTTCCATTATCAATGTTAGCTAAAATATTACACAAATAATGCTATTGATAATATAATAAATATAGTTAGAAGACCAAGTTCATAAATAATTGTATTCAAATGCATTGTTTTTTGTTAAAAATAAGTGCTTTCTGTATAAATAAATAAAGAAATTATAAATGTTTTTGATTCATTATAATGTAATTAATTACAGTAAATACTTCTTTCAATAATCTAAATAGCAGTAGGTAACTAATAAGTAGTGTCAATATCAAATTGTCAAATTAATATTTGTGAATTTGAAAATTTCTTAGTTTTTTTAATTGTAGATAAGCCTATGCAGTCTAGTAATAATGTTGAAGAAATCAAGAATCCTTTAAAAGTAAGTGATGTTTTATATATTTTTCAAATATGTCATATCTATGTTGAACTGTTTCTAATTGGTTTATTATTTCACAATAGTATTTATGTCCACCAGGATACAAGTCAAAAAAGAGTAAAACATTTTAAGTTAGATTTATTTAGAGTAATTGAAATTGTTAGATTTATTATCTATTAAAAAGCAAGCCATTAGGTAACTGTAATAAGCATCTTCATTATAAATTTTTGTAGAAAAATCTTGGTAAGGTATTACTATATTTCTATGTTAAAATAATAAGGCATTTTTATTATCAGATAAGTAAATAACTAACAAAAAAGAATAATTGATATTTAAATTTAATGAAATTATTCTTGAATTAGCATATAAATATAGATTATTTTTCTTAAACCAATTTACAGTATTTGTCAAAGAATTATCAAATCAAATGAATTCAGAGAAATTAAATAAGCATCTAATATTTTCAAATATAAGTTGAATAAGTATATACTTTAAGAATAGCCAATAGTATCTATTAATAATTGATAATTAAAAAAAGGATTTGCTCCAGGCATGCATGCAGCTTAAAAAACTATATAAGAATATAAAAGACAAGTATTTGCATTTGTGCAACAGACTAAATTAATTTCAGCTAGAACAAGAAAAAGATACAAAAGAAATTATGATTTGTATTTTTTTTATATAATAATTATATAGTTATCCTATTCACAAGTAGATTTGAATTAGTAAATAATAATTCAGTTGTATATACATTAATAAAGAAATATATGAAATGTGAATTATGTAAATTTATAAAGATTTTTCAGAATACATAAGTTTGAAGCAAATTGAGCAGTGAATATATAAAAATTAATATAAGATAATATTATCAAATTTATTTAATATTTTTTGTATTCTTAAAGAAATTAACCAAGAAGAAATTATTTGAGAATTGGTTATATATGTTATAAAGTTTGACAAAAGATTATTATATAATTTAGTTGCTTATAAAATAATAGTATTAGATGAGGTTAAATCAATCATCTGCTCATTATAATCAATAAGTGCTATATTGGGAATTTAATTTACAAAAAATGATATTTGAATAATTATAAAAGATTATATAATAAATTTAACTATATATTAATTATTGATATATTCAGATACAAGATATAGCAAAGCATGTAAAAGAAGATTCTAAAGAAATAAGCCACAAAATGGACAAAAGCATATCACAAAAATATAGAGAGAGCCTACAAACCATTTTTATAAGAAGAGCATACTGGGCAATAAATAGTATGCATAACAAAGTTTTTTTTAATAAGACAGGCAAAACATATGCAGTACCAGATAGAGAAGACAGAATTGTAGCAATACTAACAGAGCAAGACCTATATGAGGTAGCTCTTTTATGATTAACAAGA